ATGGTCTTTCAACCCTACCTGTGTTTTAAAAAATTGTTATCGTTACCTTGTTATGACTACCTTGTTTCCACCACCTTGTCATGTTCTATTCCTGTATCCTTGCCTATTTTATCCACCAGATCCCTAGTTTGGAAACCGCTTACCCCCGAGGTATAAAAACCTTGTCTTCCTCACATTGAGTGGGGAGACCCTCACTCAAGTCTCGGGATAAGCTGATACCCCAATAATTCAAGAGAGACTGTTCTTGATGCAAGCACACGAGGTTTATTTGGGGGAACCAGTGCATTAGGTCCGAGCTCATAAGCCTCGCAGGGGCAGAGGAGTTCGACCCCTAGTAGCTGCAGTTGGGGGTTTTTAAAAGTGAAAAACCGAATGGGGGAGTTCGGCAAACATCATAAACATAAAGGATGAGGAAGTTAAATGATAGCTTACGTCTTAACAGGAAGGTTATCTCAAGCAAGCATTCTTTGGGCATTGTATAGTTAAACATTGAGCAGGAATGTGGTGAGCAAGTTCCTGGATCAGGCAGTGTTATCTTTTAAGTTTATCTTGGGGTCTCCGGTTTCTCAGGAGAGGGCAGAAGGACAAGTCATTCTGTGATGGGCTAGTCACTAGGGGTCTAAAAATGTTGAATTGGGATTTCTCAGCATCCAGTGCTGATCTCTGGATTCTTGCCCTAGGGGGAGGCAACCTGTGTACAGGAGTGAAAAAACTTGCATTAATTAATCATCTGCTTTAGTTAATTTGGACATGATGTTTTGGCTTGGTGGTCTTTCTCCTCCCATCTTTAGGATTAACAACAGGGGCTTCTCTACATAGACCTAGCTGCCTTAGAACTCACTATGTAGATTAGGCAGGCCTCAAACTCACAGAAATCCACTTGTCTCTGCCTTTTAAAAGTATATACCACCACACCCAGCTGCAGTCCAAGAATTCTAAAGACATCCTTTCCTCAAACAACTGGTACTTAATCCAGTTGTGCTATCAGCCCAGAAGTCTTTGGCATCCAATTTCTTCAAACAATTTACTTCAGGAACCCATGAGTTCTGATAGTTTCCTCCTAAAAGACTAGATTTCTCAGTTTCCCTTGCAGATCACAGAAGTCATTTCTGCCCCTTTAAAAGAGACTGAATTTCACCTTACCCCTGTAGGCGTTTTTTGGCCAATTCACAAGTGTAGGTTAACAAAATGCTCCCTGCTTAGGACTAAGTCTCTATTTCTTCCTTCTTTCTCAGTAGATGCTTTTAATAAACAAACAAATTGAGCTCCTGTCACACATAGCATGCTATGGGTCTGTTTGAAGAAAATGCCAGGGCTACATTGGAACAAGCATCCATTCACAGGATGACACATTTTCAACTCCGACCTCGAGTTCAGGACAAGCCTCATTCTTGCCATCGTCCCTTCGAGCTGTTTTGTGAATCATATTCCTTCTTGTTTGTATCAAAACTCACACTGAACAATGAGTTCTGGCTGCCTTTGTCCACCACTTCACACACACACCACACACACACACACACACACACATACACACACACATCTTAAAACAAAAACTTCCTTTTTTGAATGATCCCATTATGATTCCAGGCAAGTCACACAATTGTTACTTGAGCATAGACTTCTTAACTAATCCTCAGGAGACTGAGTTACTCTGCATCCCTCCCATCACCACTCTCCTCAGGGTTGATTCTGATCCTTGTTTTCTCTTACAGATGTATCTCTTAAATTGACTGAGAATTTGTATCCACGTTTCATCACTAGCTAACCCATACTTATTATTGATGTGGTATACTATTTGTTCTAAACAAATGTGAGGATGAGTTAATTTTTACAGAATTAAGTACATTCTCAAGTGTATTAAGAGTCAGTATAAGAATTTGATTCAGGGGCTGGAGGCATGACTCAGTGATTAAGAGCACTGGCTGCTTTTGCAGAGGACTCGTGTTTGATTCCTAGCACCCACATGGTAGCTTACAAGCATCTGTAATGTAACTCTGGTCCACTTACAAGCATCTATAACTCTAGTCCAAGGAGATCTGATGTCCTCTTCTTGCCTTGACAAACATCAGGTATGCATGTGGTACATTGACATACATGCAGGGAAAGTAACCATACACATAAAATAAAAATAAATAAAAATTTTAAAAGAATATGAGTTTTTATATATGGTTTGTTCTTTACCGAGTTTAGGGAACTAACAGACAATGAGAACCACTGGGTAGCAGAAGAATCTGTGCTCTTGGGTCTTTGATTTAGTAGCAACTAAATGTTTAGCTCCATTGGAATTTAAATGAAACTGTGGGACCTAGCAGAACTCCATAAAAGCATCATTTGCGTGTTGAGCTCAGGCTGTGCCTGAAGCTGCTTCACAGCGTATAAGACAGTAGCCTCTCCAGCCGTGCATTGTCCTAGGACACTCCAGGGTACAGGCAACCATTGGTTCCATTTTGAGAGAGCAGGATGACTACAGTCCCTGGGAGGACCCCAGAGACTTCTCCACCCAGCCAGTACAGACTGGTGGCTGACTTATTCCTGGGACTAGGAAGACAGCCACCCTATAAGTTTATTGGAGAGAATTGGGGGTGTGAGGACACATGGATACAGTTCACTCTTATCAGAGAACTAGGCCCAAGAACTTATCAGACACACCAGAAGAAGAAAAGAGTTTCACATCCTTACCTGAGCCCCCTAAAGGGTTAGACACCTAGTAGTGAGATAACATGGCCTCATACCAGCCACTGACCTGACACCTGCTGTGCGCATCAGGAGCCAGAAAATCTCCAGCTGTCCCTAGAGTTTCCTATTGGTTAGGTTCTGTCTCTGATGAGGCCTACTTGACTCCCTGCCAATGCACCTATTTGCACTCCTGGACTTGACCTGACCCACTGTTGCCGATTCATGACATACTTCCTGCTGTGACCAGGTTTGGGAGTTGGTCTTAAGCTGAACTCTGCAGTTTCTCCCTCAAACCTGACTCGGCAGCTTCAGCAGCTGCCCTCTCAGCGCTGATCTCCTTATCTTATCAATACAGGCTCTCTGCCCATTTCTGAAATCCCTTGAACTCTCAGCCTCTTTACCTTGTATTTATGCATGTAGATACACAGATATATTTATTATGTGCTATGGGTTATGTGATATGAGAGTTAATATTAATAATTAATATTGGAATTTTTAAAGATGAACAGTGGTTGGTTGATATTCATGGGAGGCCTGAACTTTTCTGAAGAGAAACAGAAGAGGAGGAGTGGATGGGGGGAGAAAGGGAGCTGAGGGGGAGGGACTGAGAAGAGAGGAGAGGGGAAACTGTGGTTGGAATGTAAAACAAGATAAGAAGAAGAAGAATGAACAAAACCAATATAAATATATTACATATAAGAATATATGTATGTAATACATTTATGTAAAATGTGTATGTTTATGATACATGTATATGTATATATTCTTTGGAGACAGAGTCTTACCACACAGTCCTGGTTGGTCTGGAACTCTCTATGCAGAATAGGCTACTCTTGAGCTCACAAAAGTCCACCTGCCTCTTGTCTCCAAGTGCTGGGAGACGCCTCTGCCTCACTGCACAGTCACCTTCTGTCTCTATTCTTCTGCCATTGTACATAAAAATATAACAAATGCTCTAACATAGAAACAAGCCAAGAGTCTTGGATAGTTTAGCCCTTGATCTCTTCCCAGGAAATCCAAGTCCATCTGGATGGCACACACTGTCAGTTAACTACTTGTGCAGGTGTGCAGTGGTCTCACTGGAGATGCTGGGTTCCTTAAGCTTTACAGCTAACCACCATGTAGATATAAGATCTTTTATGAGGGGCTGGGGAGATGGATCATTGCTTAAGAACACTGGCTGCTCTTTCAGAGGACATGGGTTGAATTCCCAGCAACCACATGGTAACTCACACCTGTAACTCAAATTCTAGGAGACCTGACACAGACATACATTCGGCAAAACACCAATGCACATAAAGTAAAAGTAATAAATTATTTTTGAAAATTCTATTCTGAACACATTACCAGCCTATAAAAAGGATTGCTCACTAGTGTCGAGGCACCAGCTGCCAACAGCAGTTGGTTAGACACCGTGTCTTTAGAATGAAGTGTTTACTTTTAAAATGATATGCTTATCTACATGTATATCAGCTTTCCTGAATTTTTCAAATAGAAATATTTGCACAAAGAATGGCTGAACATGGAATTAAATGTGCACTTTGTCTCCAAAATTATCAGTATCATAGCAACCAGTATCCAGTCTTTTAAAATATGTACTTGTTAATATATTACAGCCAATCGATATAAGTATATATAAGTTTATAGAATTTACTGTTTCTGATTGAGCTATAATCCATATGAAATAAAATTAAATTTAAAAGAATGTCTTTTAATTTTACTATATATATGCATATATATTCATATGTATGTGTGTTTGTCTGGATGTGGGTGTGCACATGTGAGTGCAGTACCAAGACAGGCCAGAGGAGGGCGGTAGTTCCTGGGCGCTAGAATTACAGATGATTGTGAGCCACCTGATGTGGAAGCTGGGAACCGAACTTGGATCTTCATAAAAGCAAAATGTCTTTCTATTTTAAATTTAAGGAAAACATATACTTTTCCTAAAATAGTTCAAAACAGACAGACATTTAAACAAGCAAGCAAGCAAATAAATAAAACAAAAGATAATGGAAGTCTGCTCCTTTAAATGTATTCACTGGTGCTTGGGAGGAAGCTCCGTGCTTGTCCAGCAGGCACAGTGTCTTGGGTTCAGTTTTCAGCACCATGACACATTTCTCATTAGCAACTTTAACATGGTTTCATCTTGTAACATTGAATCACATGCACGTTGCACAATTTTCATTGCCTTTAATTCTGGAAGAGCTAGGATTTACCTTGAGATTGAGTTCCTCAACAAAGCACAGCTGATTAGGGACCAGGAACCCAGCATTTTTCACAATATGAAGTCTTACAAATGGAAAGAAAGCTGAACCGACCCCAAGTGTGGTGGTATACATCATCAGTGCCAGCCCTCAGGAAGCCAAGGCCAACCTGAACTGCAGAGTGAGCCACTGTCTCACAAAACCAAAATGAGAGAGAGAAAGGGAACTATAAAATAAAGAATTCGATCAGTGGCAGCATTGTTGACATGGAATTCTTGTACTCATGCACGTCCTTGGATTTTTTGTCCATATTTGAGTGAGCTGACAGACATGTTGACTCGTAATTAATGCACATCATTATTTGCCTATAGAGGTGACAAATATGAAACAAAAATGTTGGGGGAAGTTTGTCAAAATGTGAATATCTTCATCAGCAGTTCTGGTAAGCTGAAATTGCTACTGGTGAGGTTTAGTCTCACAGAATGTGCACACGAGACCCGTGAGGCAAACGAATACAGTGCTCAGCTCCTGAAGATTCTAGAATGTGATTCTTGTGCTTTTTTGCACCTCTCTACCACTCTCCTCATGGCACTCTGCACTTCCTTGTTCCTCAGGCTGTAGATGAATGGGTTCATTGCGGGACCGATGACCGCATAGAACACAGAGATCAGCTTGTCTCCCTCGGCGGAGTAGAGGGACTTGGGCCTCAAGTACCTGATCAGCCCTGTTCCATAATAGATGGTCACCACAGCCAAGTGTGAAGCACACGTTGAGAAGGCCTTCTTTCTGCCCTCAACTGAGTCTAATCTTATCACAGCCACGAGGATGCGAAGGTAGGAGACAACAATCAGGAGGAAAGGGAACAGCACCGTGCCAGCCCCTCCAACGGCCATCATGGACTCTAGCAAAGACGTGTCTGCACAGAACATATGCAGAAGGACAGGCAGTTCACAGAAAAGGTAATCAACAATGTAGGGACCACAGAGTGGCAGGATTGTGACGTAGAGAGGTATGACTGAGGCACAGAAGCCTATGACCCAGACTGCTACTGCCAGCGCTGTGCATACCGCCCAGCTGATGATGAGAAGGTACCTCAGCGGATAGCAAATGGCCACGTATCGATCTATGGCCATCACCGCAAGGAGGAAGCACTCGGTTGACTCCAAGAATAGGGTAAGGTAGGTCTGAGCCAGGCAGAACGGGTAAGATATAACCTTCCTGCTTGTAAGAAAATTGAAGAGCATCTTAGGAGTCACAACCGTGCTGAAGAATCCATTGAGGAAAGCCAGGTGGCAGAGGAAGAAGTACATGGGTGTCTGCAGAGAGGGCTCTAGAGCCACTAACGTGATGACAGCTGCGTTCCCCAAGCAGTTTGCCAGGTAGACCAGAGAGAAGAAGAGGAAGAGGGGAATCTCAGTCTGGGGGTGATCAGAAAACCCCACAAGGACCAGCTCAGTGATGGCGCTGGAATTCTGGGGTCTCATGCCTGTTCCTGAGCCATACCTGGTCAAATGAGAAGAAACCAAAGGACCCCACATGAAAACTCTTGGGTCAGATCAGGCCACTTCACATTTGCTTTAATGCTGAAGGTAACATGGGTCCTAAATTTAAATGGTGGTCTTTCTGTGAGACCCTTTCAGACAAAAATTCAACCTATCACCCCCCTCACTGTGAGTGACCATTTTGGGGGGAAATTACACAAAATCTTGTAGCTCCACAGAGATCATTTTACCATTGCTACATCATATCATAGAGACTACAGGGCACTCCTCTGTCTGTTTTAATTATCTGACTCTTAAAAGCCACCAATGACTTCAGTAAGATAAAGTGACTTGTCTGACATCACGAGTAAAAATGTGAACATTGAGAATAATTACATTCTCCTTCAACTAAGCTGGTAATTGATATCAGAGAGTTCATTTAGCCAAAGAATACAACATGCCTAGTCCCTACAGGAACTAGACTGTAGCTTTAATACAGTTAATTCACCCAGACTTCTGGCTTTCATATTTTTAGTCATGGTTTCAGAGGATATAGTTGTTTCAAAGCAAGAATTTTCTTGTTGTTTTTAAGTTAGCGTGCAGTGCACTGTTTCATCAGACATTTCTGTGTACACTTTGTTCTTACTCGTCTCCCTTGCTCACTCCACATCCCCCTCATTCCCCCCTGGCTGGTCTCCCTCCTCCTCACACAGTTCTCCTTCTGGTCCTTCCATTACCTTTATGCATCCCATCACCCTCTCTTTTGATCTCACTGCATGAAGATCTCTTATCCCCTGTCATGGTCCATGGTCACCTTTCTAGTTTCAAAAGTACATCTGTATATACAAATTTAAATCAAAGTCTGCATATGAAAGAAAGCATGTAGTGCCTATCTTTCAGAATATCAATACCAAGATTATTCATTATATTAAACACATTGTAAAATAGTCTTTGCAAGGCCATGCTTCCTAAATACACAATTAGAAGTATACATTTCTTCAAGAAATTATGAATTAAATTTTTGAGTGTGCTGAAATGGCAGGTCTAAGCAGGTTCAGTAAGGTGTAGAATATCACACAACACAGATGCAAATACTGGCTTTTGTTGACATAGCAACACAACAATGAAAAATAATGCTTTTGAGGATATTTTCTGCCTAGAGGTCTGTCAGCCGTCAGACACAGAGCCCAATCTTCACACAGCTACATCCCTCCTACCTTAACACGGCTTTTGTCTCCACTCTCACACACTGACAGTGTTTCCTCTTTGTCTTGCTAGATGTCTCTGTTTTGTTACTTCCTTGCTTAATTTCACATAAAATGCTTTCAGAGAGAGAGAAAAAAGAAAACACCCTCTGAATGAGAAAGGAAAGGAGTTTGGCAGAGAAAGGCAGTTGACATACCCGCCTAGCTCCCTGATGCTGGAAAAGTCAGCCACCAGTCTGTGCTCAATATTGGCAGATTATAAATGAATTTTTCTGAAAAGGGCCAGTTTCTTGGTTCTGTCTATAAGGAAAACGACATCAGAATGACAGCCACCTGCCAGATTGAGAGCACTTGTATGACACACCCAGAGACTCCCTTCTCTCTGCACGGTGTGCTGCTCAGCTGTGATCACAAACATGGATCTCGTTCCCGAGCTCCCATGATTTTATCATGATAGATACCCACATCCTCTTTATTCTTTTTCATACTCATCTCTACTTTATATTTACCAGGATCTTTCTGAAATGAAAACAAACAAAGTTGGTGCAGATTGGAGACTTGAGTTTCATAAAACCCATTACCAAAGCAAAGTTTTAGGTCAGTCCCCAAGGGAACCAGTTACTTCATGCAAGAAAAACAAAAAGCAAATTAATTATTTTTCCACTTACTGTCAGTGTCAAATGATTAATACAACTTATAATTAATGCGACTTACATCATTAATGCAACTTATAATTTCCCATTCATGGTGACATAATGAAACTTCATTTCTTCTCTCAGAAAAACAACTCTACTTGGAAGTTTAAGTATAAAACAACTAAAAGCAAAGTGTTCTTGACATGCTGTTTTTCTTATTTTATATTTTAGTCTCTTATAATTATTAAATTGTATGTATTGCAGGGAATCTATGGATTTCACTGTGATCAGTGCAGACATGCATGCATGCACGAACTGTGCTATGAACACATACATCCTCTCCTCCCTCCTTCCCTTAGTCCCTCTGGTTCCCTCTCATTTACTTAACAGTTTATATCCTATTTTCAATGATTCCGCATATGAGAGGAGACATGCAATGCTTTTCTGTCTGAGTCTAGCTCATTTCACTCAAGGTGACAATTTCAATTACATCAGTTTCTATATATAATAAGATTTGACTCTTTTAAAAATTTTTATTTAAATTAGAAACAAGCTTGTTTTATATGTCAATCCCAGTTCCTTCTCTCTCCCCTCCTCCCCTGCCTCCCACCAATCCCCTATCCCATCCACTTTCTGCTCCCCAGGGAGGGTGAGGCCTTCCATGGGGGATCTTCAAAGTCTGTCATATAATTTGGAGCAAAACCTTGACACCCCCCGCCCCGTGTCTAGGTTGAGAGAGTATCCCTCTATGTGGAGTGGGCTCCCAAAGTCCATTCGTGCACTAGAGATAAATACTGATCCACTACCAGAGGCCCCATAGATTGCCCAGACCTCCAAACTGACATCCATGTTCAGGGGATCTGGATTGGTCCTATGCTGGTTTCCCAGTTCTGTCTGGGGTTCATGAACTCCCCCTTGTTCAGGTCAACTGTTTCTGTGGGTTTCTCCAGCCTGGTCTTGACCCCCTTTGCTTATCACTCCTCACTCTCTGCAACTGTATTCTAGGAGTTCAGCTCAGTGTTTATCTGTGGGTTTCTGCTTTTGCTTCCATCAGCTACTGGATAAAGGCTCTAGGATGGCATATATAAGGTAGTCATCAATCTCATTATTGGAGAAGGGCATTTAAGGTAGCTTCTCCACTCATGCTTAGATTGTTAATTTGGGTAATCTTTGTAGATCTCTGGACATCTCCCTAGTGCCAGATTTCTCTTTAAACCCATATGGCTCCCTCTATTATGGTATCTTTTTTTCTTGCTCTCCTCTATTCTTCCTCTGACTCAATCTTCCTGCTCCTTCATGTCCTCCTCTCCTTTCCTCTTCTCCCCATCCCTTTCTCCTAACTCCCTCTCCTTTCCCTCCATGCTCCCAATTTTCTCAGGAGATCTTGTCCATTTCCCCTTCTCCAGGGGACCATGTACATCTCTTAGGGTCCTCCTTGTTCCCTAGCTTCTCTGGTGGCGTGGATTGTAGGCTGGTAATCCTTTGCTCTATGTCTAAAACGCATACATGAGTGAGGGCATACCATGATTGCTTTTTTGTGACTGGGTTACCTCACTCAGCATGGTTTCTTCTAATTCCATCCATTTGTCTTCAAGATTCCATTGCTTTTTTCCCACTAAGTAGTACTCCATTGTGTAAGATAGACAATAATAAATGGGACCTCCTGAAACTGAGAAGCTTCTGTAAGGCAAAGGACACAGTCAACAAGACAAAACAGTGGTCCATGAAATGGGAAAAGATATTTACCAACCCCAAATCTGACAGAGGGCTGATTTCCAATAAAAACAAAGAAGTCAAGAAGCTAGTCACCAAAACACCAAAGGATCCAATTAAAAATTGGGGGACAGAACTAAATTGAGAATTCTCAATAGCGGAATCTAAAATGGCTGAAAGACACATATGAAAGTGCTCAACATCTTTAGCCATCAGGAAAATGCAAATCAAAACAAGTTGAGATACCATCTTGCCCTGTCAGAATGGCTAAAATCAAAAACACCAATTACTACAACAGTAACATTATTAAGCTGAATAATATATAAAAATAGACTCCCATCTAATTACATCACAGTAACATATTACCAATAACTATAGAACTCAACTGGTTAATAATAATTAAAAGTGTGCTATGATGTTAAAAGTTGTTTAGGGTAAATGTAAAACTAAGACAGCAGGCATGAAGAAAGCACAGGAGAAGCAAAGTAAAGGAGCACTTTGAGAGGAGGAGAAAATAAATGCAAGGATAAAAGCCAACGAAATCCTCAGTAATAAAACAAGTACATAAAATAGATAGGTGTAAGACATATAATAAAAATAAAAATATAAAAGCTGTTGTGAGATATTAGAGATGTGTTACATTCGTTTATGCTGTGGAATATTTGTTTAATGATGTGAAGATGTGTTGCATTCTTTTGTGTTGCTTTTTTTTTCAGTTTAAATTTAGATAAGAAACAAGGTTGCTTCACAAGTCAGTTCCAGGTCCCTCTCCCTTTCCCTCCCCTCCTCCCGTGCCCTGCCCCCAACCCCCCCCATTATCCCCTCATTTCCCCAGGGAGGGTGAGGCCTTCCATGGGGGTGTCCATAGTCTGTCATTTCATATAGGGCAGGGCCTAGACCCTTCCCCAAGAGTTCAGGGTGAGAGTGCACCTCACATTGTTCTATGGGAGTCCAAAGTCCGTGTGTATACTCGGGATGGGTACTGATCTGCTGCTCAAGGCTCAATAGATTACCTAGGCCTCCTCACTGACACTCACATTCAGGGGGTCTTGTGTTGTTTTTGTTTAACTCTGTGAAGCTGTGTTACTTTGCCTGCCTGAAACACTTGATTGATCTAATAAAGATCTGAACATCCAGTAGTGAGGCAGGAGAGAGGAATGGGCAAGGCTGGCAGGCAGAGAGAATAAATAGAAGGAAAAAAGAGAAGGAGGAGCACGAAAAGAAGGAGAGAGGACACCTGGGGCCAGCCACCCGGCCACCCGGCCACCCGGCCACCAGCCACCCAGCCACACAGCCATGCAGCCACCCAGCAAGCCACAGAGTAAGTAAAGAAACGTCTATAGAATAGTGAAAGATAAAAGCCCAGGATAATTTAAGTAAATATGAGTAGAAATAAGCCAAGCTAAGGCTGGGCATTTATAATCAATAATAAGATTCTGTGTATTTATTTGGGAGCTGGATTGTGGATCCCCAAAATCCAAAGAATAAAGAAAACACCAACAAA